GGGGGGGGGGGCGGTGGGCAGTGTTAGGTGTCCCATTGGAAGGGGGCAGAGGAGACAGGTTGGCCTCGGGCTGCACTGGCTTTGCCAGGACAAGCGCTCATGGGTTACGAGGTGCTTTGGGCTGGGGGGCAGCGCTGTCCAGAGGAGGCGCGGTCTGTCTGCAGCTCTGTGGGGACCCACCTGCATCGCTCTCCTCACCATCCTGCTCGCTCGTTGCCTTGGATACTGGTCTGAGCTTCAGCTCACCGAACGAGTTGTTTTCTCTCTCTTCAGAACGTAATAAAAATTATATATACGCACACGCGCACACATAAAAAACCCTCGACGGCTGTGATAACATTTTTATTACTTTCCCCCTGCTTACAGGAATCACATGTGTTTATGCTAGAAACTTTGAAAATACACACAGAGGGCCAGGTGCAGAGGCGGAGAGGAGGCAGCAGCGACATTCCCGTTCCTCGGTGGCCGGCAGCCCTCCTGGCGCCCGTGCTGTCGTTCTGTGTCGTTCTGTGTCCTTCGTGTGTGTGCTGCACGTTTGGAGCGATAGTCGTGGGTACGAGGTTGTGCTCTCCACTCTGTATCGGGCTCTGTGGGCTGCGTCCAGGCCCCTGCCACACTCTGGAATGTGTCCCTTCTAATGGCCATGGGGGACCCAGTTCACTGCCACACGGCTCCCATGTGCCTCTGGAGCTCACGCAGGTGGTGCGGCCTAAGGCGTGTGTCTGACGCTGCTCCAGCACCAAGCCCCTGCCCCTAGTGACACCCTCAGTCCACCTGGGCCTCCCTGGAATAAAGCTCGCCCCGTTCTGGCTTCATCTTGCTGAATCATCTGGATGTGTATGTGTCTGAGGCAGATACATATTTTTATAGTTTCCCATATCCCTTTGAGACAAATAAGTTTTGGTTGTGTGTGTTTTTTTTTCCACTTTTTAGGTAAGGCGACTGAATGGTTAATTGGATATGTGTATATCCGATTAATACAGAGTGTCCCCCCAAAATGTATACACACTTCAACAGCTGAGTCAGGGGTACACTGCATTTCCTTTTATCCAGTCCTCACCCTGCCCACCCCCGGTCTATGCATCTACTCTCTCTGCCCTGTGTATCAGTCTCTGGCTTTCTCCATAAATTATGCATTTGTGGAGCTTCCGCTCAGCTCAGGTTTTTCGCTCCATGCTCTGAGTCCTAATGAGCACGGCTGGGAATCGGGGCTGTGCCTCCACCAGGCGGGATGGTGGGTGTTGGGGCAGACATGGCAGCCTCTGGCTTCCCATTTCCCCTTCGCTCAGTGTTTACACTGGGTGGGAAAGGAGGAGTCGCACTCAGCGTGGGGACTGAGGACTGGCCCTGGCCTGTTCACCCTGCATCCCGACTCCACTCTGCCGCACAGCCTGGCTCAGTGCCTGTGGACCTGGGAATCGTGTTTGGGTTTGGCTGTGGCACTTGGTCAACTGTCTTTAGAAAATATGGTTGATCAGACCCACGAGGTGGGAAGAAGCCAAAAAAGGAACCACGTGGGATTCTGCTTTGAATTCTTGGGCGGCAGGAGAGTGTGTTTGTAATTGATGAGGCGACCCACACTCCAGGCCCCCAGCCTCACCTGCTGCCCTGAGGTCCATGCAGCTTTGACACGGGGGACGTTTCCATAGCTCCTGGTGGGGAAGCTGGGCGTGAGCTGCTGGGAGTCGTCGTTGTCCGGGGACAGTGGTGTCTACCTTTCCCTGCAGCTGTTGTGATGTTCTTAGGATGGGGCTGCTCCAGACCTCTGGGGGGTAGGCCGTGCCACCCTTTCAGAAACCTGAAAATTCTGCATTTCCAAACACATCTGGAGCCAGAAGGTTGTACGGGATATTGCCCAGGCCCTACTGCCTGCCTGTCCCCAGCCTCTCCAACTCATGTCCACGGTGACGGCGAGACCTTGGCTGGGCTCAGGGTCGAGGCAGCAGGCTCCACGCTTCTAGAGGTGAGCAGGCCAGTTCTGGGTCAGAGCTTCAGGGTCAGTGATGTCCTCAGGGCCTTGGAGCTCACCTGCACCCGGCCCCCTTCCTTTAGGGTGAGGACATTGTTCGGGAGAGAGGGTGACTCGCTGGTGGGTCTGAAGTCGCATGTTTCAGCTGTCGCTGAATGTCCTATAGTCTCAAAATGATGCTCTTTGCAAATTCAGAATTAACTCACGATGCGACTGTTGTCTCCAATTACACGGCACTGGAGAGGATGTGTGTTCCAGTTCAAATGGTTATTTTATGTGTTATTACGCAGTTTTGGGCACATTAAATGGATAGCCCTTACATTTTCTTAATGCTGTAACTGTATTATTAAAAAACATTAATCTAGAATTTTTGGAATGAGGTTACCATAGAAATGAAAATAAAATACCAAAAAGACTCTTTAGGGTATAGCTAAGAATTTAAAACTCACCATGTTTAAAATCAGGCTGACATTGTTAACATTTGCAGGGGGATGAACACGACGTATCTGAGTGGCTTGCGGCTACTCATGGTATTGCCTTTTGCCGATTGTGGCATTGAATTGGTAGGACAGATACGTTTCTCTAGTTCATCTGTCAGTGTTTGTATAAGTGGGTCCTTTCACATCTTCATTTGCGGAGTGTAGCCCACGTCACAACTGCCGTCTGAGGCTGCGCTCCTGCTGCTCCCCCGTGAAGCCGCCACAGAGAAGCCACGGTCCTCAGCACCTCTGGCTGGTCACCTGGTGGACAGGCTGGAGCTGGCTCGTGGGACGGAGGAGTGATTCGTGTGCTTCCACTAGAATTTCCGTCTGAGGGACTCGGGGGGCTTTGGAGACAAGAATTTTAATAATCAAGTCAGAGATTATTTTACTAGAATTTTTAAAAGTTTATTAGCTGTGGTTGTGGAGGTGGAGGGACTGTCATTTGTTTGGAGTGTGGGCCGCATAGAGGAGATGGCTGTGAGCTCCGTGTCAGGGAGAAAGAGACTACCCTTGACTGGGAGGGGCTGTGGGCAGGTGTTCACATGTCTTCGCCATGGCCACAGGAAGACCCCAGAGGTACTGACACGGGACTTCTGGTTTTTAGCAGCTGATCCTCCAGGGCTGGGTTTGCTGTGAAATAATCGGTCAGCTGTGTGGGGTTATCGGTACTGACAGACACGGCGGCTGCAGTTGTCCTCTCATTGGTTCCCTCTCCCCCAACAGCAGGTAAAGGGGCACGTGCTCCTGTGACTCGGGTGGCAGGTTCCTGCATGTGCCTGGGGATGCTGTTCTCTCCGCAGTGTTGCTAGGGCAGGGGTGCAGTTCCTTAGAAAGTGGTCTTGTTGTTAATAAGCATGTATTTTCAAGTGCTGAGAGAGGAGGGACTAAAACATGTCCCTTTTGAGAGGAGCAACCTTTCCTGAGATGATGGAGGTGACATTTCACATCCGTGGCCGTCACATCCTCGAGGGTGCAGCACTGAGGCCAGTGCAGAGACCTCGCTATCTTCGTGTGACAATCACAGTCCTATGGTTTGGAGGTCTGAGCAGTGCCAACAGGCCTAGGGCAGGAAAGGGGGGGGGGTGACCTGTTGGAAAGAACTGGATGGACTCAGCGTCGTCTCAGACAGCATGTTTGTGTACTTACAAGTCCTACAGGATGAAGGAGGCGGCGGCCCAGGTCTCTGGCTTGTGTGTCGGGGCAGGTGGGCTGACATCTCCTAATCGAGGTCTCTGGAGAGGGGACAGGTGGGCAGGAAAGTGTCTCAGGTGGCAGACCCAGGCTGTGGTGTGCCTGATGAATCATGTGGCAACACCAGACTAGGGAAGTACCTGCTGCCAGCAGTGTGGACAAGTCTTTAGCTTGTAAAGAGGGTGTGAGCACCGATCAGGAGCAGCCACTGGTCCGGTGTAAACAGGCAGGAAGCCCAGAGGATAAGGCACGAGGAGCACGACAGGGCACCCCCACGCCAGTGCACTGTCTCTTGTTAAGTAAGTGACCACCTTACTGTGCATATAGACTTGTGCAGAGGTCAGGTGGAGGAATCTGCAGAATGCTGCAAGTGCCTCAAATGTTAGTGCGTTTGATCAAGTGCTTCTTTCTGGGAACGTGTCACAGGGAAGCCCGAGGAAAGCCTCGCCACCTCTGCCCACTTCACTTGGAAACCTCTCAGAGAAGTGACACCTGGCCGTGCAGGTGCAGGCAGTGAAGATGTGGCAGAGAGGCAGAGTGGGCAGACCCCAGGGACATTTGAAAACGGGAAAGCTGCCCCCATGAGCTTCATGCTGAAATTGTTGCTTTTTCTGTTGTTTGCAGATGAAGACGGTCAGCGTTGCCTTAGTCCTGTGCCTGAATGTTGGTGTGGACCCTCCTGATGTGGTAAAGACCACCCCCTGTGCTCGTCTGGAGTGCTGGATCGGTAAGTCCCCAAGGTCCCTGGGTGGGGTTCCAGGTGAGGCAGGGCATGGCAGGGCGTGCTCTCCCTGCCCTGGCCCAGTGGGGGCTTGGTGCTGGTTTGTGTGAACCTGAGGCCTGGGTGTCTCTCAGGAGGCCTCCGACCTTTAAGTTGTCTGGGATGCAGTCACTTGTGATTCATGATGGAGAAACTGTTTCAGGGAAAGTTAATAAAGTCATGGTTATTGGATTATGTGATTTTTCTCCTGTACATTTGCCCTGTACCTGGCATATAATAGTAGCTGTTTATCCTTAAAAATCGAGTGACTGACACCTGTGTGCAGGTGCCTCACTCCACAGCACAGAGTCCTGTCTTTTTCCCATGAGAAGCCACCTGTTCTTGGTCATGGTCCCCCCACAGCGACAGCGCAGGCTGAATGGGAGTCGGGGGTGTGCACAGCCACCCCCGACTGCTCCAGGGAGGAAACATCAGGCCTCACTGTTAGGGATGATAGTAGCCAAGTTGTTTTAAATGCCTTTTATGGGGGAAGAAGTTAACTTCTATTCTTAGTTGCTGAGAGGTTTTTGTCAAGAATCAATGTTGTATCTTACAAAATGCTTTCTCAGCTTCTATTGAGATGATCGCCTGGCTTTTCTTTTGATGTGGTGAGTTACGTTGATCAAATCTTGGTTGGCGAGCCAGCTTTGAATTCCTGGAACAAACCTCACTTCTGTCGTCTTTTCACTGAGTTGCTCGACTTGACCGCTAATATTTTGTTAAGGAACTTTGCATCTGTTTATGAGGGACATTGGTTAGTAACCTTTTATTACAATGTATCTGTTTGGCTTTGGTGTCAAGGTAATACTGGCCTCATGCAGTGAGTTGAGATACGTTCCTGTCTCCTCTGTTTTATGGAAGAGTGTGTGCTCATGGGTATTCTTTCTCCTCTCCGTCCTGGTGTGGTTTCCAGTGGCGCCATCTCAGGGTGCTCTCTCCTTCTTTCCCACTGCTGATGGGATTGGGATCCCCCGCCCAGCTTTCTCCATCCTGAGCAAAAGCAGGAGTCCTCCTTATTTATTTTATTTTATTATTTTTTAAAATATATCTTTATTGATTTCAGAGAGAGGAAAGGAGAGGGAGGGAGAGAGATAGAAACATCAATGATGAGAGAGTCATTGATTGGCTCCCTCCAGCATGCCCCTGACTGGGGATCGGGCCCGCAACCAGGGCATGTGCCCGGAGCGGGAATCAAACCCTGATCGCCTGGATCCTAGGTTGATGCTCAACCACTGAGCCACACCCGTCTGCACCCTCTTATCTACTTTAAATAACAAACGTTAGAAATTATTCTAATCTGAATTGAGAGAAAAAAATGTTTCCCCCCATTTTACTTGCCTGCCTCAGTATTTGGGGGTATCTTAGGGTGACAGTCCTTGTCTCATAGCCTCCCTGCTGGCAGCCCAGGCCCTGTCCCCACACCCAGTGATAGTGGTCGTGTTCTCTGGCTGCTTTTCTGAGATGCTTGCCTGGTTGCCGTGCTGGTTGAAATGGACTCTGACGGTCTCCACTTCATTTGTCCCTGTCACAGCTTAATCGATTGCTCTCCACTGTCTCCCTGTGACTGCTCTTCCATTAGATTTTACAGCAAGGCTCCTGGATCCCAGCGTGCGCTCCCAGGGATGCGTGAACCCTGCTTATGTGGTGTCTGCGTGTGGATGGCATTTTCCACACCTTGGAGGCCTGGCTGTGACTAGGTTTCCCAGGGTCCTCACCTGCCCCCCACCACCAAAAAAAAGAAAAGAGAAGAAGCCGGAAGAGTCCCCCACCCCACAGTCTAGCGGATCAGTGTTTATGGGAAGCTTCAGTGAAAATGAAAAGAATTCCTTCCTTCCTTCCATGATCCAGCAAAGGAATAGATTTTTTTATATTGTGTTTTTAAATTTTTTCTGCAGTTTAGGACTGTAATCTACTTTGTAATAATTTCAGTGGATATTGAGTTCAAAAGGGCATTTGGCCTTTATTCAGGAGGGTGGTCCTCGTGATGGTGATTTTAACAGTGATGATACAAGAAGAATCCTAGACATTTGATTTGGCAAATCTGCAGTGATATCTAACAGTCTGTTTTAATTTTAATTTTTAAAAAATTCAGAAATTGCAAGTACAGTCGGAAGCAGCATTTCCCCAGGTTTGTTTGTGAGAGAGCTGCTGAAATAGGGACCCAGCCCCCCACGTCCTGCGTGTAACTCCTGCTGATGAGGCTCCTCTCTCCAAACTAGCTCGGCCATCAGGTCAGAGCTGACACACCACTCGGCCTTGGGAGCCCCGGACACAGGCATGTTGCCACATGTCGAGGCCCTTTACGTCCTTCACGGCACAAGGGCCTGGCCGAGTGTCTCCTGGCCTTCACCCAACTCAGCCTCACTCATCCCAAAGCAGGTCCCCACCTTTCCTCGACCTCCTGACCTTGTCCTCAGAAGACCACGGTGCTCTGTCTGGGAGACCATTCTGGTGTTTTTGGGACAGGAGTGTCAGAGACGTGCCTGTCCACCACTGCATCCTGTTGGGGCATGGCTGACGGTCACGGTGGCTGATGGTCACAGCAGTGGCTACAGTTGAATGAGAGTTGGGGCCAGGCGGTCTATAGGATCCTGGAGAGAGAAGGGGACATGAGGCAAAGGCCGGGGAGCTGCCTGGCCAGCAGGCGGGGGTCCAGGCTCCATGGCCTGACGAGCTGGTCCTGCCTTTCCCAAGACCTCAATGCCTGGAGCTTGTCACTGCCCTGCCCTGGGAGGAGTCCGAGGAAGAGCCCCGCAGGGGTCAGTGCAGTCAAACAACTCGAAGAGCTGCTTTGTGCCAGGTCTCAGCTTTGTGCCAGGTCTCAGCGTTTAGTGCCCTGTCATGGGAAGCCCAAGGCTGGCGGTCATCAGGACCCTGCGGGATGTCATTCACTGGCTGCCTCATCAGCAGTAACCTCGCTGCCAAACCCTCGTCTCCTGCGACTCAGAGCCCATGGCAGCACCTTCCTCTTGACTCGGGATTCCCTGGGAGCCCACATGGCTCAGTGCAGAGACACTCGCACCATCCCCACACCTCAGGGTGCCAGAGGGAGCTGGAGCTACTTCGTGCGTCTGCGTGCCCACCCAAGGGAGGGGCCAGCCGGGGGCAGCAGCTTCACCCGGCTGGAGGTCTCCAGCGGACATCCATAGCAGAACCCCTGACAGTACAGAGTAGACACTGAACATACCAGCAGTGGCCTGCGTGGCTCCTGCCTTCCCCGGGGTGGGGGGAGGTGTGGGGAGCTGTGGGTGGTGACATTTCACACCCCCAGAGACCTTGGTGCCTCTGCTCTGGGACAGGGATGGGCAGCTGGGGAAGTGCCGGGTTGTTCCCTCTGTTCTGCCTGTGGACAGCGTGTGCATGGACAGCGTGCACGTGGCCCACACGCAGGAGCAGCTGCCTGCAGAGGCTCGGGAGTCAGTGCTTGAGAAGTGGCACGTTAGGGTTCCTGGTGGTGACAAGGACATCGCCAGGACAGACAAGCTGACAAGACACCGAGCTGCTCTAAGCGAGCATGTGGCCTCTAGGGTACCCGCTGTCTCCTGCTGTGGCCACCACTGCCCAGGGAGGTGCTGACTGGGAACTCCTGCCGCAGGCCCTTAGAGCCACTGGGCACCTCCCCGCCTTACCTGTGCAGAGCGACGTCTGTGGACAGGACAAGGCTGTACTTTCACACGGCGTCCCAGCCATGCCCCCACTCTTCTGAGCCATCCGCTCCCAGTGTCTGCTGGGCGTCCGCACAGCACGGGAGTGTGGGGGCGAGCTCGGTCGTCAGCGCGGGTGGGCCGTGAGGAAGGCTCTGAGCTGGGGTATTACCGGCAGGTGGTGCTGCCGAGGCTCCTGGCTCTGCCCTCGGGCGCAGGACCGTGAAACGCCTCTCACTATACGCTCATTATGAACTGCGTGCAGCGACGTTACACTGACGTGAGACGGAGCCGTTAAAAGCCATGTCTGGTTTGAAAGCAGCCCTCTGCCGTTATGTATTTTCTCCATTAAAAATTCTGTGCTCAAGGTCACTCAGCTAATTAGCGGCAGAGCCCTTCAAAGTCACGCGGAGAAATTTGCGCTTGGTCTGGCAGACGGCACCCCGTTAATAACTCAATTAACAGATACGTATGAAATGGCCACTAAGTGCAAGCTGCACGGAGCTGTGAGCTCTGTGTGTTTCACTTTGGAGTTGTGGTGACGCGTAGCACAGACAGGAGCCTGCTGCTAACTTCCCGAACCGGTCAGACTGTGGGCGCGTCTGCTCCTCGGCTGGCCTGTGACGGGTGGGCCATGGCCTTTACTTCCTGCTCACTCAGGTGGCAGCTCAGCTGCAGGTCCTTAGTGCCCTTGAAGGTAACACCAGGTTCCTGAGGTGTCGACTCTAGCAGACTCACCGTCTTCCTCAGATGAGGCTGTCTGTCTGTCTTTCCTCCTTTTGTTGGCGTTAGGCTCCAGCCACTGAGTCTGTAGCATCTGTGGGATGAGGGCCCTGCGACCGAGGAGTTGGGTGGGGGCTGGCCGGCTGCGTTCACGGTACCTCACCTTCACCCGAAGGAGGGACAGGCGCCCGTAGGGCCTGGCAGGCACCTTCTAGAAGGTGGACGGAGTGGCCGTCACTTCAGGGAGAGTGACTGGCAGTTCCCATGGCCCTGATAAAAGCCGAGCCGTTAGACTGAAGTGCAGAAGATGCACACGTGTAGCTCAGCGAGCTGCTTCCCAGCGACAGTGAGGGTGACAGTCCCCTGTGGGTGAAGAGCCGCTTGGAGGGCGGGAGAGACGGGTGCAGTTCAGTCTGCCCAGGCACAGGCTTGGGCTGTGGTTTCGGATCCACATCTCAAGTAACCGTAGCCTGCTGTCCGGGTTTGGTGTCGTATCAAGGATGACGGCTGGCCGTGCTCACCTGGGGAGGCTGTTTAATGTCAGTGCTGCCTGTCGGGGAGGGTCGGGGGATTCTCCTCAGGAACATGAGCTGCAACCACAGATCGCAGCAGGCGGGTGGGCAAGCAGGTGGGAGGGCCCAGCCGGCCCCTGCTGAACCAGCTGTTACAGAAATGGCAGAACGTAAAACAGTGCTATTCTTCTCATTATTTTTTGAAAAAATAGTCATTTTTCATAATAAATATTTATGTTCAACGTAATGGGTTTCTTATTTTAAATGAGTGTATAAAGAAATAATTTTTAAGTGTTTCATCCAAGTTTCGAGCACAGTGAAGGCTCATAGACACAGCAGGATTTGGAAGCTCATAGAGCTCCTGAGACCAGACTCAGCGGCAGAATTGCTGGCTGGAAGTGACTTGCTCTAGAGCCGCCCCTGAGATACATGGGCAGACCTGGAGCATAGCTGTGTAGTCGGATGTCCCATCCTTGCCCCTCGGCGTCTTCCCCTCCCCTGTGCCCAGGAAGCTGCGCTGCGCTGTGCTGGCCACCCCGCATGGTGTTGGCGGGCAGATGCATGCCTGAGGCTGTCCACACACGAGGGAGCCAGCGGAGTGCAGACCACAGGGGCCCAGGGGCACAGAGGACAAGAACAGTCCTGGTGCCCCTTTGATGAGCCCAGTCTCCCCTGAAAGGCAGGGCCCTGGGGTGGGGAGCCCGCGTGGGCACCTCAGCAGCACTGTCTGCTCAGCACAGACGAGCCTCAGGTCCTGTGTGTGGTCTCTGTCGGGGTGACTGAAGTGAACGGGTAGGGGACTGTGAAGGGGTTTGGCAGTGGAGGGTGGGCACCCGTAAAGACCTCTCTCCTCTTGTCGCTCCTCAGATCCGCTCTCGATGGGTCCTCAGAAGGCTCTGGAGACCATTGGCGCCAACCTGCAGAAGCAGTACGAGAACTGGCAGCCCAGGGTAAGCCCCCTGCTTGCTTGCTTACGGGGAACCTCGATTCCTTGGTTTCAGACAGTCTGAGTCCAGGCGGGAGCTTCTGAAACCATCACCCTATAATCCCGAGATCTGACCCCTGTCCCCACATCTCCCCTTTGAGTGTGTCATGAACTGACCAGTCTATTATTTTGCCCACGTTTCCCCCGGGAATCTTTGGAAAAGAAACAGTATTTCCCATGTTCTGTTTGATCATGGTTTTATTTTGCCCAGGAAGTGGGTTTTCAGTAACTTCCCCGCAGCTCAGCTAGTTAGAGCTGTTTCTCCGTCTCCACTTTTCCCACAGAGAACCGAAGCACTTGGCATCAGGGGTGGCGCGTGCCATGAGCTTTCTCTTTGATTACTGTCTTCTGTTGCTTGCTTCTTACAGTTTGCCGTTTTTATAGAAGAGTGGTGTAGAGTGTGAGAACTGTGTCAGAGTGACTGTAAGATCTTAAGTTATTTGTAAACCCGCCCCCAGACCTATTTCCTGTAGCCTTTCTCTTTAGCTGGCTTGAGGATTTTAATAGAAAATTCAAAATTTCAGGTGTTTCTGGAGGTGCCTCTCCATTCTACTCTGGGCGATGGGCTGGTTCTGGAGTCACCTAAGGATGCGATGAGGAGGGTGGTGGGCAGGTGGCCCTGCCCCGGCCTCCGGAGTCTCTGCCCCTCCTCTGCCATCAGCCTCCAGGGAGCAGGCGGCCTAGCGCCCTGGGGAAGACTCGCCTGCTTGAGCTTCCGTTTGTGAATCATTCACCCACACTGTCGGGAATTAGGAATTCTTTGTGCATCACTTACATTCTGAGTGAAGAGAATGGCTGGAAATGAATTGGTTCCTGCCTGAGAAGGGCCTGCGGTCGTTTTTGCTCACAATGCTGGTGACTCATGTTATGCCGCCTCTGTGTCTTGGGGTGTATACTCTGCTTTTGCGTTTCTAACTCATCAGGTCAACAGTGAGGGAGTCTTGTTCCTTGGAGGCCACTGCTCAGTAGGGGTTTGGATCTGTGCCGACAGGCCTTTCTCCAGTCACATTGTTATCTCCTGATGGTTCAGATCAAAACCCAGGAGCCTTTCTCTTGGGAGAGCAGTTTGGGGTTGGCTGGGGACCAGGAGATGTCTTGGTGGTGCATTACTTTAGAAACGCACCACCTATTTCCTGTAGCCTTTCTCATCGGCTGGCTTTAGGATTTTAATAGAAAATTAGAAAGCTGAGCTGCTGGGGTTATCAGTAGAAAATAGTTTCTTTGAAGATTTCCAGGGATTCCAGAGCCTCAGCCAGGCCAGACAGCACTTCTGGGTGGGTGGGTGTCACAGACCAACCTTTCACACCACCTGTGACAATACATGCAGGTGACGTCAGATGACATGGTAGCATTGGCATCTAGAGGATGGCGAAGGGGCACCGTTCACCCTGAAAGAGCGCCTTTCTGAGGAGCCGAGTCTGGCTGTCTCCCGGGGCTGCTTGTTTAGTGGAGACGCAGCCAGACTCAGGACTTCGGCTGTGCTCTTCCCCGAGCGAGGCTCCACCGCCCCATCCCAATACTCTCTCCCTTAAGGAGTCGCCACTCAGGGTGGTACATGCTGACTGCTGGGATCTGCAGAGTTTTCTGGAAGCTGGAGTTGATTACTCTGGCTTCATTATTAGTTTAGCTCGGTAGACACCAGCTCATTCACACTGGCTGGCACAAATGCAGTCTTCTGAAGCAGGATCTATTATTTGTTGTTAAACCTGAATTTCTGTCTAAGAGCAGATCTCTCTCCTGGCACCCGGAAGAGGCGTTTCTGCGTACGGCAGGCAGCATTCATGCAGGGACGTGACTGCGGGTCCCCGGATGACAGTGCAGAATCACACACTGGACCCGGACGCTGCCTCCCAAGAGGGGAGGGCAGTGAGCGCGGAGAGGGCCGCAGTGCTCAGGGGACGCTAGCCAGGGAGCTCGGGGAAGTCGGTGGGGTTGCAGGATTGATCTGCAGTGTGATTCTGTGAAGGAGGGGAGAGCTGGATGGGCTGGTTTGGGGGAATGTTTCAGATTATCAGACTGAGAAAGAGGTGCAGGTGGGACGTGGAATTGCAACAAGGCAGCAGCAGCCTGGGAAGACGCAGAGCCACACGGTGAATGGTTACTATTTTCTTTCTGAACCACTGCATTCATTTTTAAGTAGATAAAAATGTTTCACGTTTACTGCTACAAACATTAGTGGGCCTTGTCTGTTTCAGAAAGGAGCCCAGGTGATGGGCGGAGCAGGGTGCCTGCTGCCTGGCTGATGGCCACGGCATACGCCCTGGGGCAAGAGCCCCTCTCTGCCCCTCTCTGCCCTTCATGACTTCCCGTTGTCATAGGACGGAGGGGGCCTGGCATCCTGCAGTGTGGCCTCGTGGCTCCGTGTGTGGCCCCCCTCACACTGCCTCTAGAGTTTGCACAAAACATGAGGCAATTACAAGCTCTGACGTTAGTGCGCACGGCGCCTGCTTCCTCACTGTAAATCAGGGCCCTTTGAAACATCGCAGAGCTGAGCACACATACTTTAGTGCACTCTGCAGGCTCTCGAGTGTCTGCAGTAATAACTAGGAGGATGCGCCACTGTGATGGCACAACAGGGGCGCTGTTAAACTCCTGGCCCTGGTCGAAGCTGCCCACAGACCAGGCTCTGTCCCTGCGCCTGCACCTCAAGGCCCACAAAGTTGGGCAGCTGGGGAGAAGGGGTTTCCGTGAATGTTTTCAGAAATCCTCCCAGGCCCCCACGGCGCCCTGGGTGGGGCCAGGGGGGCGAGGGGGTTCCTGCCGGCTCAGTCCCCTCCAGGAAGGGGGGAGAGTCCGCCCCTGGGACCTCACCAGCATCCTGATGGCCCGATTTTCCCCCTTCCTTTTCCAGCTTTAACTATTGAGACTAAACCTTTGATAAAGGTGATTTGGGGTCAGGAAGGAGTTTAGAAAAACCATGACATGTGCCGGACTGTCAGACCCAGGTTTCCCTTCCAGGCTGATGGAGCCTTTTCTACATAATTTATCAGTTTGCCACTGGCGAAATATTTCTTGTGATTGATCTAAGGCTCTGCCTTATTACCAGGTAGGTATGTGAATTTGTGTTCTGTGGGAGATGGCAAGAGAAACGCCAACTGTTGTTTCAGCTGAAAACCCCACAGTTAAATAAACCCCTCGTTTCTTCGTGAGTCTGCTCTGAAGGTGTCACTGGTGGGAGCAGAAATACGAAGCTGAGCATGTCAGGGGGGATAGGGGGTGGATCTTACTGAGACTTTCTAACCAACAGTCTGCGGCAGTTTAGTGCAGGGCAGTCTAGGCGCTGGAGCCCTTGGGAGATGCAGATGGCACCTGTCTCTGTTCTCTGTTCTCTGTTCTCTCTCCTCTTTCCAGAGGGTGCTCCCAGCCAGAGGCAGGGCCACAGCGCCCTCCAGTGGACGTGCCATTCTCCTGGGGCTGGAGGGCAGATCTAGGTGGGTGTTTCTAACTTACTTGGTAGGGGGGAAATGAGGTGACACTTTCTCTGCCTGCAGGTGTCTGAGGTGCGCCAGGCTGGTGTGGGAGTCAATGTGAGGGGGGTGGCAGACGGGAAATGCCCTTCAGTGCATAACTCAGGCACCTCGTTGCCGGTCTGTGAGTGGCTGTGGGCACACAGGCCATGGAAACAGTTGGCGGTTCTCAGTGGCCCCCACACAGTGAATTTTGCGTCTCAGCCTCTCCCTTGGTCTGTCGAAGTCACCATGCAATTCGGGGGTAGCCGTTGGTTTTGCTGTTAGTTGACAGGTTTGCTGGTACTTTGGGGGCATAGGGTCCTCAGGGAGGAGGTCTGTCTGGGACCAGCTCGGCTCCTCCACCTGGTCCACTAGCCAGGCAGAAGGAATTGTTGCCCTTGGATGTAGTGATGTCACCCTTCCCTTGGGGGTGGACCTGGGGGTTGGGAGTGGCTGCGAGAGCATTGATTTGCCTGGAGGGAGGGGTGTGTGGACAGCAGGTGTCCTTCCCGGGGCTGCTCGCAGCCTTGTGACCCTGGACAGTGGCACCTGCCTCTGGGTGGGAGTAGGGGCAGAGCAGCAGGTGTTCACGCTGGACTCTCCTCACTTCCCCCCAGCATTAAGGCCGAAGTAGACCTGAGATGCTGGGGGAAGTGAGGGATGCTGTAGACCTGAGTGGCAGCTCCGGCTACTGTCAGGATTCTCAGTCACAGGTCGCTGTTTGAGGAGGAGACCAGAGTGGCCACAGGGCTGTTTCCACCTGGGGGTGCTGGAGACCAGTGTGGATTGTCCCTCCATTGTCCTGCCTGGGGTGGCCACCTAACCTTCGTCCCAGTGGACATGGCAGCTCAGCTGGGAGAAGGGCCCTCTCAGGAGCTCGGCTTGCCACCCCTCTTCCCCTGTGCTCTGCTGTCCCCGGGCCAGCCAGCTCCCCTGCTGTCCTCACCTCCCGCTGTCCCTTCCTGTGGGTCCTGAGGTTGGGCTTCACCCACCGTGTTTGTGTTCTTGTTTTTGTGACAAACTGCATGTGAGGGCTGTAGCCACCGGCAGGGCTGCAGCGGGAGCGGGGGCCCACCGCTCTCATCACCTTGGCTGCTGTGGAGCAGGGGCGGCAGGTGCCTGTCAGCCGCGTGGCCGTGCGGGCGAGGCTGAGGCTGGCCCTCGTGGGTTAACCGGCGGTGCCGACGGCGTCGCTCACCTGCTTCCTGCCTGAGTGTTAACACGGGTCCCCTGACAGGCGTGTTCTTTACCTCCCTGCTTTGGCCTAACGGTGTCCCCTCCTCATCTCTCCCGTCTGCTCCATCGCGCTCGCCTGACAGCTCCCCCGGCCGAGATCAGTGCAGACTGGTCTGTGCTCGGCAACTGCAGGGCTCCTGCTCTGCCCGCCCACGTGCCTCCTGTCGCACCTCCAGAGAACGGGGTGCCCGAGACAGCCTCCTGGGTGCGGGGTTCAGGTTCTGCATCAGCTGTGCCCGAGTCCTCATGCCAACCCTCTCCCACTGTGCTTCGTGAAAGCAACCCTGTTGTCCCCCCGTCACTCAGAGTGGAGACCTGACCTGTAAATAACAGCCCAAGGGGTGTGAGCCTGGCCTTTGGGAGTGGAGCCTCGGCCCGCATGGTCTCAGACCATCTGCACAGCTGCAGGAGGGGCTGATCCAGTCCAGCTCTCCACGCTCCCGACCTCCCCTTGTCTGGGGTCATGGGCAGGCAGCCCCCCTACCTGTGCAGGTGTGTCCCCCACTGGCAGGGAGCACACCTGGGGTCTGGTGTGGGGAGGGGCAGGGCCCGTGCCTGGCAACCACAGAAGGGACGTGGACTTGTTGAATTTTGGCTTTGCTCCTCCCCAGAGATGTAACTGTGAGGTTACCTGTTAACCCTTCTACTGGGGGTTTCTGGGGAGAACGAAGCGAGGTGAAGTGTTCATAGCAGGAGGCCTGCAGCCTGTGGCAGACCCCCCCCCTTTTCAGCACAAGCTGGCACCCAGCCTGCTCAGCCTGCACTCCCTCCTGGCTGGCACGCTCCGGCTCTTCTCGGCTCCCCTCGAGAACTGACCTACTTGAAGTGTGGTATTTTAGAGAGAAATGAGGGCTCCGCTCCATCCCTAACGAGCCTCTCAAGGACTGGCCTCGGCCTCACTCTTCACGTTCCCTTAGCAGGAGCGTCCCGTGTGTGACAGGCTGCAAATGCGGGCCAGGTGCCGTTGGGCAAGGACCAAAACAGTGGCGCTGACCTCTGCAGCGTCAGGCTCCCTGTGCTGCACTGGGCTCCCCAGTGAGCCCAGAGGCCCGGGTCGCAGAGCTCGGGGGGCTTGCAGGGGGAAATAAAGTCAGAGGAAGTGCCGGGCTCTGTCAGAAAACGGGAGAGATGGTGCGCAGAGCACGGGACGGGGAAAGTGGAGGTGCCGCGAGGAGCTGCCGCCTGCTCGCCATATGTGACTTGAAGAGGTGTCGATGGCACCCAGCCAAGCAGGAAGGTGCCACTGAGGGGGAATGTGACGGGTTGGAAGGATGGCGCTTCTGCTCCCTGGATCTCATCTTCCGGGGACACCGTGGGTCACAGTGGCGTTCGTGCCTCAGGGTCTGCAGAGGCCAACACCCCTTCTTGAACGTCGGGATTTACTAGTTAATGTGCTGCATGGTGGACATTTTTAGGAAATTGGTATAAAAGTGACGTAACAGTTATGTGGCCTCTGTGTCTGACTTCCCCACTGAGCAGTGTTTTCAGCATCCGCCCATGGGTGTATAGTTTTGTGGTTCCGTAACACCGTCGTTCTTGCAGCCGAGTGATACCCCAGTGGGGGGCATTCACGCCCTGCTTACCCACCTGTGGATGGACACGTGGGTTGTTTCTACCTCCCCGCTGTGGGCACTGTGGGTGGGCTTCTCAGGGGCTTGTGCCAGTCCTCTTGGGCCTGGGCCTGGGAGCGGAATTGCTGGGTCAGATGCAGCTCTGCGTTCCTTTTGGAGGAACCTCCCAGTTCTTTCCACGGGCTGCACATTTCCTGTTTCTGCATCTGTCCCAGGGTCTCCCCAGCCTCGCCAACACTTGCTATTTTCTATGTTATCGTCATAGCCATTCTGTGGGTGTGAAGTCCTGTCTCTGTGGTTCTAAATCAGATTTTCTTAATGACTGAAGATGTTGAACATCTTGTCATGTGCTTACCGGCCATTTGTTCACCTTCTTTGGAAAAATATCTGTTCCTGCTTGTGGGATTAGTAGTGTGGGTGTGTAGGATGTGAAGGCATCTGGATGGGTGAGTGGACAGGTGGGTAGGTAGGTAGGTAGGTAGTAGACAGGTAGGTAGATCTGCCTCCCCAGCTGTCCTGATGCCTGGGTGAACCTGCAGCGGGAGACGAGCCTGTGGCCGGCTCGGTTCCCATTGACCTGGTGGGGTCTTGCCTAATGGTCAGTTTTAGTCACAGACACTTGTCCATTGTCACAGTGAGTGTGGAGCAGCTGCTGAAGGAGACTGGCTTTTTATCCTAAGTCCTCTATATATGCCTTGCACGTAAAAGTCATAATTATTTATTACTTTAATAACGGCAGCTGATTTAAAATACTGCTCCCCACCAGCCCCACCAGGTAGGCAGGGGCTATGGGCGCACAGAGCCACCTGTGACTTCTGCCTCTGGGCTGTGAGGCTTGTTTGCTGTGCACCTTTTCTCCTCTGTGCCCCGTGGGTGTGCCCTGGAGGGGAGGGTCCTTCCTCCAGCCTTAGGGACAAGTGTTCATCACTCTCCAGGGGGGCCCAGTCCTCGTTGGGGAATGATGAGTCTGGGGTGGCGAGGCCTGTGTCTGTAGGGCCAGTTGTACTGACTCAGAGGAGCAGTGGGCGGGAGGCGTGGGGAGCTAGAGGGTCTTTCACAGCCAGCCCTCCCCCTTGCCTTTCTTTACCTGCACCAAGCATCCAACAGCTAAACTTATGAAGATTTTAACCCAAGAAGGACAACAAATGGTGAGCAATTAGGTTGTCATCTTAGTAGAAAGAAAATGTTATATTGATTACTATCAAGAAACAAAGAATGAACATCTTGAAAAAATCTGTACTGGCCACACCCAGAACCCCGCAAGGTTACCGAGGGTGGCCAGACCACAGGGTGGAAACGACCAGGCGGCTTCTTGCCTGTCAGGTGGCCCCTGAGAACACTGTGACTCGGATAGATCTCCAGGTTCATTCAGCTTTGACCTGCTCTGGGTCTGAGGGCTTTATTCTCTTGTATCCAATGAGGCAGAAACTTGATTAGAAGATGGCACGTTTATATGACGTGCTTGTTAACTGTGAGGTGCCCCCAGAAATGTGCTTTTATAGACACTAGACCGTATTGATAGAGTTTTAATCCTCATTCCTCCCCAAAGGGACAAAAAGCCTTGTGTTTCTCCTGCTCTGTGGGTACCGCCTAGGTTTCCCTCCTGCGCTTTCCCTCATCTCTCCCCCCTTCCTACCCTCCCTTTTCTGTCAATGACAATATCTGAAAGGAAACTTCGGAAACGCCCGTGCTGTTGACGGTGGTGCCCACTCTGACTGGAGCCTGCCTCTCCCGCGTCCTTGTACCCTAATTAAGTGGTTTGCTGGCTGCTCCACATCAAAGACCCCAGTCCCAGGAGAGCCGAGTGGGCACAGTGCCAATGAGGATGCTGCCTGGTCACCGGTGCGCCTGGCCCGCTCGCCTCGCTCCTCGGGAACCTTACCCTTTAAAAGTGATGTAGACACAGAACCAGGAAGCCTTCCTAGGGAGCGCTGGGGCCAACTGTTGGGGAGCCCTCAAGACCACGCTCACCTTCCCTCCACTTCCTGGGGACTCACGCCTGTTATCACGGGGCCAACCTCTCATTTGGGGGGGGGGGGCTGCTTTCTGTCCAGTGGTTCCCTCCTGGGAGGAACTGCATTTTCTATCTTAACATGAAGTATTAGAAATATCGCACTTGGTATCACCTAAAAAATCACCTTTCTCTAAATTTGTGAAAACAGGGTTTTATTTTTTGCCCCTTCTCCTGGTATGAACTTGAGAAGGCCGCGGCCCTCTCCCTCCGTCCAGCCTGCTGGACACACTAAAGGCTGGGCTTAGAGGGGGCCCTCGGGCAGGTTACCAGTGTCGTCAGGGCGTTGCTGTAAGCGTGAGTGAGGCTGTCCTGATCGGATCCATGCTGGCCGCACTGCCGGGGCAGGACGGCTGAGCCGGGAGTGGCAGATGGGCCGGAGGTGGTGGGCTGTATCTGGTGTTGAGACGGACCCCCGTGCACCTTGGTGTGGGTCAGAGCTGAGGTGTGGCCCATTGATGTGGAGGGTGGGGGCCAAGGGGATGTTGTCCTGCTCACGGTCCTGCTGCAGGAGGCCCGAGCAGCACAGGAAGCTCCCTCCAGGCAGATCCCACTCCACTGCAGCCACATGGGCCACAGCCACCAGCCTACCAACACACATCAAGTGACCAGGTGTCACCGTGGGGCTAGAGGCCACCACTGGATGGAAAGGGCGCTGTGGGCAGTCAGGGGCAGCCTTTCTCTGCTCCTTCCTTGGCCTGTTTCTCCCTCGTTCATTCCTTTATTTGACTCTGTGGCGTCCCCTGAAGCTACATGCGCAGATTTTATGACATCTGGGACCTGGGCCCAGAGGAGCTGTGCCCAGCACAATAGGCAGTATTTTAGAGACTTGCTTTGTCGTTTCCGCGCCCGTCTCCCATTGTCATAAATCCCCAGGCAGGTCGATGCTCCCGCCACCACTCCCGCCCCTCAGTGGCGAGGCCATTACCCCAGCCTCCCCGTTTCCACAGCCGCGGTGGTACACTGACATTTAATTTACTGCTACTCATTTCAGAGCCCTTAAAAATATTAATTAATTCCCACAAAGCCCCAGGAGGCCCATTCCTGATGCCGCAATGCCTCTCCCGCCAGCCAGTAATGCGTCCTTCCGGGCTCTCGGCGAGGAAACGGGGCTCAGTCATCTCTGCAGCCCACATGGGAGGCCTTGATGAAGCCGAGGTCAGGAACAGTGAGCCCCTAGTTTCACTGGCGTCTCTGAGTGATGTGGACCTGGGCCTTGTGTGTGTTTGGGGAACAGCTCTCTTGTTTAGGATGTGTCTCAGGAGACCATGCTGGGCAAGCCAGTGCGGCTGGGACTTCACTGCCCTCATGGGATGGCCACGTGGAGGAGGCAGGGTGCAGTGAAGCCTGGCAAGAGCAGGGGCACCTATCACTCCCAGGCCAAAGGCCAGCGGCGTGTGGATGGAAAGTGGAGCCAGACACCAGGAGTGCAGCCTGGCTCCTGCGGCTCTTCAGTGCCGGCTTAGAGTCATGGTCTGGATGTTCCCCGAACCCGTTTTTAAGTTTCTTATCTTCTTCTGTGACAGGCCCGGTACAAGCAGAGCCTGGACCCCACGGTGGACGAGGTGAAGAAGCTGTGCACGTCCCTGCGCCGGAACGCCAAGGAGGAGCGCGTGCTCTTCCACTACAATGGCCACGGCGTGCCCCGGCCCACGGTGAACGGCGAGATCTGGGTTTTCAACAAGGTGAGCGTGCCAGCCACAGCCTCGAGCCTGTTGGCTCTGGGTCGGCTAGAGCCTGCGGGGCGGTGGGCCCCTTCTGGGAGGCAGACACACTTAGGAGCTGGGAATGTCTGAGGACACCCTCCTGAGCCCTGACCTCCCAGGGCCAACCCCTGCCAGCTCTTAGTAGGGAGGCTCATGGCTGTGAATCTGATTCCTGCTATGGACACAGGGCTGTTCAGACTTTGTTTCCTTTTGGGTCACTTCTGGTAAGTTGTACTTTTAAGCCATTTTTCATCTAATTTGACTTGTTAAATTTACTGGCATGAAATTATTACTACTTCCTCGTCTTCTCAGGGCCTGTGGGATGGAGGGGCCGCCCCTGCACGGGTTGATACATTGTTTCTTCACACCCTCAAGCTGAGACTTGTCCATCTCACCCCTCTTGTTGATACATTGTTTCTTTACACCCTCTTTTTAAAACAAAAGCAACAGATTTTAGCAACTTTACTCTCTGTTTTACTGGTTGGACCTCTTTATTGTTTGTCCCCTTCATTGACTTTGAGTTTAACTGCTCATCATTGTCTAGCTTCTTAAGGTGGAAATCTAGATTTGGGTTTTAACCTTCCTTTCTCTGAGAGATTTAGTGGAAGCACAGCTCTAGTCACATTTCCACAAGTTGTATTTCACTGTTGTCCTGTTTCAATTATTTTTGTTTCCCTTGTGACATCTTAGTTGACATGTGTTATTTAATTTCCAAATATTTGAGGATTTCCCAGCTATCCTGTAACTCACATTCAGTGATCGTATTCTTGGTGCGATTTCAATCATTGCGACTTCCCAGAGTTGTGTGTTTATGACCCAGCATCTCGCCAGACTGGGGAACGTCCCTCCTGCACCTGAGAGTTTTCCGCAGTGGCCGGTGGGAGCTCGTGTCACTCGGTCAGAGCGAGGGGTAGTATTGTTCCAGTCTTTATGTCGGCACTGACGTTTTTATTAGAAAGAGTGTAATTGTTGTGTCTGGAGTTTTTTCTGTGAGGAAGTTGTTACCTGTCAGCACTGATGGGAGGTTATTGGGACCTGTGACAGGACCATGGGTTTGTTCCCGGTGGTCTTGCTCTGCGTACTTGAGCTCTTGTGTCAGGCGCGAGCGCATTCAGGGTGGTTTATGGCATCCAAGTGAGCAGTGTTAGCCATGTGGCGCCTTACACACAGCCTTTCCATTTCTCCCCACAAACTGGGATCCCAGGACAGATGAGGCTCTGAAACACGTCCTGTTACATCACAGTGAGCCTCCAGCACCTGTCCCTCTCCATGTGTCTGAACAGCGGTCTCTCTACAGCCATATGGGGTCCTCCGACCAGATGTGTGGTTCCTGCTCTGTTAGTGATCCATTGGGAGTGTATTGGGGTCCAGGACGGGCCATGACAGTCCGTGTGGCTGTCTGGGCCCAGCTCTGCATGTAGGTCCCCCTGCTCCTATCCTAAATCTGCCCTGGTTTTCTGGGTGTGGAGTCAGGGATGGTTGTTAGATGTTCGAGTCTTGCTGACCCGCTGGTCCCTTCTCTCCTCGGAGCTGAAACACTGCCTCCACACAATCACTGTGGGTCTGCCCGTCTGGCCTCCCTAGTCCTCCCTGTGGTCACCAGAGGTTTAGCGGGTACCTCGTATCTGGTGGTGCCTCGCTCTTTCTTCACCAGACGATGGCCTCCTGTGCTCTGGGCACGTCTCTCTGCACTGGCTTTAGAATCTGCTGTCCAAATTCGTCACAGCAGCCCCTGTGGGTGCTATGCATGGCCAGCGCTGACTTCACAGGCTCGTCAGGGAAGAGTCAGCATCCTCTGAATCCTCCCGTGAACCTTTGCTCAGAGCTCACGCCCACGTGTCCTCTCACAGTGCCCGATACCAAGCAGGCCACTGGGCAGCAGTGATGTGGCACAGGACGTCGGGAGCATGCCCATGCTGCGACGTGCCCGAGCACACCTAAGTCGGTGGCACAGCCCCGCCTGTCGGGATGGGACTCATACCTGGCGCCTCACTGTGCGCTGACAGAGCCTCTGCTGCCTTGATAAGACTCCCCCGGCCTGTCCGGTCCCGTCATTGGCTCTCTCCCTGTGGCCTCACAGCAGCCCTTCCAGCTACACCGGGGGTGTGTTGGTGCTTCAGCCATGGGGACACGGTCACCTCTGCTGCGAGAGCACAGAATTGATTTCTGCCGAGACTCGCCGCCCTGTTGGCATTCTCGGAGAGGGGGAGGGAGGAGGCCTCTGTCCAGCAGCTTAGCAATGTCCGCGTGAGTGAGGTTTTCACCGTCTCTCCAGTAGGGGGGATATTCTCCCCCCATTCCCCAGCATCCCCGGGGGCCGTGAGTGGAGCGGTACAGTGTGTCCAGTGTATGGTGTAAAGAGCACAGAGCAACTTGGGCTGTTGAGCAGGGAGCAGTGGGACATTGTGACCTTCAGTCAGAGAGAGAAAGGGGGTGGGGGTGGGTGACTACCATGACTCTGCGGTGGGATACGGGGAGGGAGACCCCACATTGGAGTGGACAGCAAGCTGGACCTGGGTGACACAGCAGAGCAGCGTAGGGTGGGATGGACACAAGATAGCCCCCAGACCCGCTCTGCGGGGTCATGTGCACGTGGCCGTCACTATGGGGTGCAGACACAGTTTGGGACTGTCCCATGGATGGGTGCGTGTTGTACCCTCTGAGGCTGCCGCTTTGGCAGCCAGAGGCCTCCATGTGGGTCACATGCATGCTCTGTGTTTTGTTTCCAGAACTACACGCAATACATCCCACTGTCGATCTATGACCTACAGACGTGGATGGGCAGCCCCTCGATCTTCGTGTACGACTGCTCCAATGCTGGCCTCATCGTCAAGTCCTTCCGGCAGTTCGCCCTGCAGCGGGAGCAGGAGCTGGAGGTGAGGTTGTGTCCTAGGGGGATGAGGGGGGCTGGACTCTATGCTTCTGTCCTTCTCGAGGGGGGTCTGCTCCCAGTGCTCAGGCAAGGGGGGACCCTTAGCAACAGGGAACTTGGTGGGCACGGAGGTGGCTAACGGGCATCTTGTTACGTCTCCGTTTACTGGGTGTCATTTTAAACCTGAATATGAATTAAGTGATGATATTAAGAGTTGGCTTGTGCTCTTCTGGCCTGAGACAGACACGGGAATGAACCCAAATCCTTTACTTTAGGAGAAAAAAGTCTTTAGTTTCACTAGCATTTTTGTTATTGACCAACTTTATTTTATTTTCTGTTTCAATAAAAACAAACAGACAAAAAAGAAAAAACACCCATTAAGCTAAATAGAGAAAACCAGCCAGAACAGCTGCCATCAGTCGTGGTGTCCAGCAGGAGAGCCCGAGAGGCGCTCTGATTGGGAAGACACAGCTCCCTTGGTTGTTTTAATTACCATTTGATGTTTGAATTAGACAGTGAACTCTAGAGAGAGATGGAAGAGGCAGTCTCTGCTGAGGGCCCCCACCCTGCTGCCAGCACAAGAGCATGAGGGTAACACTCTGCAGGCATGAACGTCACGGATCCCAGCTGGTGAAATGCAGGAAATTCCTCCCCACTGATGGTTTTTAAACCAGATGTATGAGCTTCTGGGGGTTCAGGAATGACCAGTGCGACATCTCTCGGTGAAGGCGGGTGTGTCAGCATTGTCTTTGTGCTGTTGAGGATTCATCAGCTGAAACTGTTCATTTCGCTGAATGTGACAGAGAAGATCCCCATCTATCTTTGTGAGGGGAAATGTTTAATGGACTAACTAGTGCCTCACGGAGGAGATGGAGACCTGTTGTCTGAAGTGGCATGTAGATGGCCGTCAGAGCCACCCCATGCATCGTAGGATCTGCTCCGATGGCACCTTCGCTCTCCTAACTACACTGCGGATGAGTCCCGTGTTCTCCCATGGCACCTGCTACTACTTACTGTTGTTCACACATTGTCCTGCACGAACAGTGGAAATTAAAATGATGAGATTGGCGCCCAGCTCATATCTTCATGAGCATCTTAGCCGTTTTATGATCTGCTATCTTCTGCGGCCTCTTAAGGGGCAGGGAGGAGGGAGGGGTGGCCCAGGGCATAGCACCCCACTCCGGGGCCAGAGCACCCCACCCCGGGGCCAGAGCACCTCTCCCTGTCATTCATGGGACAGTGTGTAGTTTGCAGAGTTTGTTTGCATGGAGCCCCATCACCTGCATGCAGGGGGAACCATTGGGCATCTCTGAACTCTACCTCCGCTGGGCACCCCTACCCCCTCCTCGTGAGTGTGGGAGGACTCAGCTCTGCTCTGCCAGCACCTTTACCATTCAAGTCCTGTCATTCAAAGGCTTTGGGAGACAGAAAAGTGATTTCTCTGCATAAAAAATTCAGGAGCCCTCACCACTGATGGCATTAATGAAATCCCCAGACAAGCAAAGTCTGTCCTCAGTACACTCAACTCCACTGTAACTCAGGTTCTGCTGTGAAGATGCTGCCCTGGGCCCAGAGGTTGCCTCCCCAGCCTTGTAGCAACAGTTACACAATTAATGTGACAATTAATTGTGTCTCTCACCGCCTGCCTTCTTTCGGGGTTGGCAGCTGTAATTTGCACCTGATGTGCACACCTTCCAGGGAGTGGCACAGGAAGCAGGGGCTCAGGAGGTATTTGCAGACTTGGTCTGAGAAGTGAATCACATCTGAAATAAGCTGCCTTTACTCATCTCCTTTAGTCTGTGATTAGTTGAATGTTTCATCTTTGTGTGAAACATAAAAGGAAACAAATTGTCAACCTAAACCCGCAACTGCAATGCACTGTTCGCAGACATGCCTCTCCAGAGTTCAGTCTTTAGAGCTTAATCCTTTTGTCTAATTTCATCTCTTTAAAATATTCAAGAAAGTGCTTAATGTTCTGCACCACAGATCCTGGCCAGCATCCTGGGTTGTGGTGTGGGTGCCCATCAGCTTGGCCCTATTGCTGTCACAGGAGCCCCTCCCCTGCACGTGCCCCCCCCC